TTTAAAGTCTGATTGGTGATATTTAGGATGACAATATAATGTGGTAAAATTCCAGAGTACATTCTTCTGAACTATCTATGGACACTTCATTGAAAATAAACTGGTGGCAAACTAAATTAACATATTAGGTACTTTTGTGACTATTAAATATAAAAGACCTTTTCAGTGATTGCTGATATATGTTACATTTAAAGGGTAGTTTAGATGTGCCTCTATTTCAGATAGTGGTTTTTAATGCAGGTAGAAAAAGCCAAAATAAGTGGTATACTCATAATAACTAATTAAGCCTAAGTGCGCTCTAATGTCATAGTATAGCAATAGGTACATTACAATGAAATACTACTTTCATAAGGAAATACTGTCTCCGATGAATTATACACAGAGAGAACTGTGATTTGGCAATTTAGAGGAACATTCTAATTATATGGAAACAGTATTTCCTTATCTGTTTTGCCTGTGGCTAGGTTTATCAAATATTTTATTTCACCTGGAATTGCTATTTAAAGATCTCCATAAGCGCTTTAAGTATAAAAACAAACTGTATTACATTTTACTACTTATCACTTTATTTTTTTAAAAAAGAATACTTTGTTGTGAAAATTTTACTTCTCAATCATAAAATAAAAATAAAGACTTTCCAGTTCCTTTCCCCTATGGTATTAAATAAAAAATAAGCACAGAAATTTTTTACAAATCTGATATCCTGTCTTTTTGAACTTAAAACTTTACAAGAAAATAGGCTCTCAAAATTTGGACAGATACTCAAGCCACAATGAACAAGTCTCTTGGTTCGAACATTCTGAACCAAGGTGTCAGCCCATTCTTTCCAATACTGACACTGAGAAAAGTATCACTGATTATCAATTCATGGTGTTAGATATTCCTGTTTTTCAAAAAGAAAAACCTAAATCTGAACAGACATTTAAAAGGTGAGGCTCCAGATAATAATGTTAAACAAATTTTTTTAAAGCACACAAACGGGTTCTACTCTCCTGAGAACTCTACAGTGTTGTTTGGATGTCTGCACTTGGTGACCTTTGTTATCTGCTAGCAGTTTAAGACCAGTAGTCAGTAGCTTTGCCCTTAAATTTCCCCTCAATCTCAATGATAATGGAATAGATGGAACCAAATTTTGCCGTAGAACCCAGAAGTAGAAAAGTACTGGGAAGCTGGGAAGCTTAAGCACTTATTTCCATTTTCACATATTTTCTTCTCTTTCATTCATTAAGGAAAAGATTTTTGTCACCTATTTTGAATTCAAACTTAATCATTCTCTCGCAAATGTTTGTGCCTGTGTCCTTACCATATAATCTAACTCTCAGGCATTTGATTCAAGGATCATCAGCTATTCCTAGCAGGTACACTATTAGAAGCCTGATTACATTTCTGAAACTTATGTTTCTAGAATCTCTATTTCTGCTAATTATCTGAATAATCCTTAGGAGATTTTTAAATTTATGAAACAAAAAGGAAAGGAAATATCCTCCTCAGTAATTGCTACATAGATACAATCTGTGAAGAGCTTTGCATAGGAGGTGGATCCAGACTGGAATAAGTCATTTTATACATGACTCAACTTGGTATCGCATCTGGGTTCACCTTTCTGATCTCTCAAGGGGTTCAGTAACAGTAAAACGGAATCTGTTTCTTTTTATACAGCTAGGCTGGTGGCCTCACAATTGAGGGTTTCAGTGATGAGTGGAAGTTCAATAAATATTTGTTAAGTAATATATCAAAAAGAAATATTACTGATGTGCTTGAAGCAGCATAGATGCAGGTGTGTTGCTGTTGTTTCAAAGTATAATTGTTTAAAAACTTGCTAAATAGTGAAGTTTATTTTAAGAGCAGGAAGTAGGGAATATTTTTTAAATTTTTCTAATGTTTATTCATTTTTTGTGAGAGAGAGAGAGAGAGAGTGCGAGCAGGAGAGGGGCAGAGAGAGAGGGAGACAGAATCTGAAGCAGGCTCCAGGCTCAGAGCTATCAGCACAGAGCCTTACCCGGGGCTCAAACCCATAGACCTCGAGATCATGACCTGAGCCGAAGTTAGACACTTAACTGGCTGAGCCCTCCCAAGAGCCCTGGGGATATTTTTATAGTTAGGGTACTGGCCAAAAACAAATAAACAAACAAACACCAATCAAGAACCATGTAATTTAAGGTTTTTTTTTTTTTACAAGAACATGTAATTTCCACCTACTCTTTAAAAAACAAGAATAAAAATAGTCTCATTATAGTAAATTAGTTTTAACTGGTTTGAATATTTTGACTATTTGGGGATAAATGAAGTTGTTAGCTGCAAAGAAGAGTAGAAATAGGGAGAGAGAGAAAGCCCCACAAAAGTACAAAGGGAAAGAAAAGGAAATACTGTTGAGAATCAGAAAAGGACTTGAAAAAGTTAAAGTATGAGATTTACAGAAGTCCAAGATAGGCCTATGTGGAGCAGTATCATTTATGAAGTGGAATAGATGTTTGTATTTTAGAGATTTCATGTAGATTAACCATGTACTAGTCCATCATAACTGATCTGCCTGCCGTTGCTTCTTACACTGGAGATTCAGAATGCACAGATGTACAGTTCATTCAGTGGACTGGAGTCTGGAAGTATCTTTATGGTTGTTCTGTTTGCCTCAAAAATTAAAATAAGCTATTTGACACTACATAAAATTTAAGTTTTAAAGAATTTATTCAAGCCGTTTTCCAAATCTTCCTGTATTCTCTGTAGACCAAGACATTTGCATCCAGTTCCTCAGCAAAAACCTTAAAGTTGTTTGAGCTTTGATACACAGTGTTATAGTTGTAGAACTTATGACTTACAGACTACTTGTATATGCAGTACAAAATTCCCATTACTCAAACAGCCCTACCAACAGTATAGCCCATCCCTCTGTGCCTGTCCTGAAGCAGGAGGTCACAAAGTACACTGGGTACAAGAATCACCAGGGTTGCTTCCTTAAAACACAGATTCTTCAGTTCCATAGTTCCATACCCAGAAATTCTGATACAGTAGATTAGGGGTAGGGCCCAGAAATCTGTGTTTAATAAGCAAATCTCCACCCCTAAGATTTGGTAGCCAATGGTCCTGACCACTGCTAGTTGAATAAACATCTTGCCCTAAGGAGTTATCTTTTATGCTAAGGTATACTGACTGGGAACTAGCTGTAGCCATTTGTTTTTGTTTTTTGTTTTGTTTTGTTTTGTTTTGTTTTGTTTTGTTTTGTTTTGTTTTGTTTTGTTTTGTTTTGTTTTAGAGAGGGGAGGGCAGAAGGAAAGAAAGAGAGAAAGAATCCCAAGCCAAGCCCAACATGGGGGCTTGATCCCGACCGTGGGATCATGACTTGAGCCAAAATCAACCAAGTCAGCCAGGTGGTCCTATAACCATTTGAAGTAGCCATCCTTCTTCCCCCACCATCCTGCACTGTGGCAAGGTGCTCCCATGAGGTGTTTCCAGTATCTGGGAGTAGATTTCAGCAATCCTATAGAAACAATGTCACAAATGTAACCAAATGTGACTTAATTACCAGGACTCTGGTTCAGGTTTAGTGTGAACTAAATTTAACTATTAGTTAGGTGCACAAGGAAATTGAACCTGTCATGTAACACTGTTTCTGAGGGGGAAAGAAGGATGTGTTCAAAACAACAACTTAGAAACTGTTTGAATTTCATAGACAAATTAAGAACAGTTTAAATTTGGAAATGACCTTGTGCTCAAGGTTAGATTGCCTCTGATTTTGCTGTTTGCAATTCCATGACCTAACATAATAAAGTGAAACAAGCCAAAGTTAGTGTTCCAGTACTATAATTTCTACAAATTGTAGTATTGTCTTTTCTTTCATTTGACCTACATGATTACTTACTTCCAAGGCCCTTTTCTGCAAAAGAAGGGTATGATATGATAAAATAAAAATTAGTTCTTCTGGGGCGCCTGGGTGGCTCAGTCAGTTAAGCATCTGACTCTTGATCTCAGCTCACGTCTTGACCTCAGAGTCATGAGTTCAGGCTCATGCTGGGTGTGAAGCCTACTTAAAAAAAATAGCTGTATTCTGTTATCTAGATACTGTGCTATGGGCAACATGTGCCCTTCCCATTCTAAGGGAGGTAATAATGAGCAACATGCTTTATCTGTTCCCTCTCCCACTTTGTTCCTTCTTCTTAATATAACTCAAAAAAGGATGCTATAGGATTCTGGAGATAAAAATCTGCCTCAGGCTAGAAAGAAAAAATATGGCTGATTTGTGCCTGATGATAATATTTGGATTCCCCAAAACCCAAAATAAAATGAACTAAAAAAGACTATAGTTTATGTTATCCTTATTGTTCTTAGTTTCCCAGGTCACTCAGAAATTTTGGTCTTTTGTTGTTTCTTAATTCCTTGGCATGTGGCTAATGCTCAGGTGTAAAGTCACCATTTCATCGTGTTTACCCTGTTAGAGCTTTTCATTTCTCTCCACTTTGTATTGGTCAGCATGCAGCCTCCTCATTGGAGCCATACTGATGAACACATGTAGCATATATATTAGGGCAGTTAGGTAGAAGGCAGACCAGAAAATTTTTCCTCATGCTTCTTGATTGGATGAATTCGAGGAAAGATCTCATATAGAAAAACAGTTGAATTTTCTTGAAAGACTGATCATTTTAAATGTGTATGGAGCATACTTTTACCCTAAACTTTTCTGATTACAATTATATATGTGCATATACAAGTATAGAAGTGGGAAAAGATGTATCTGCGCTGTGTATTATTTTGTATACATAAGATTGGCATTTCCAAATAACCAAGCGTAAAAACAAAAATTGTCCCATTTATGGCCAAGTAGACTTGCATGCCAACAGAAAGACATGATAGTATTAAAACCATATGCAATTCTAGCCATTTTTTTCTCTTTTCTCTTCATGGGTATTGCATGATGGTATTTCTAATACAAATACTAATGTGCTTTGGAAATAATAATGGCACTCGCAGGTCTTTCATCATATTGTATCACTGCTTTATCATATTAGGCTAATACACTGCGAGAGTTGGTAGAACCTCTCCATGCCAAATCGGATCCACTTCTGTTGGCACTCAACCCATTGGACTCACAGATTGATAAGCTAATGTTTAGAGAATTTAGATCGGAGAGAGTCGGCACGGCGCAGACTCAACATCAACCTCTTGCAAGCAACTAAAATGGCCTCGTCCTTGCTGTTTATAACAGAAAAATGACTTTTAAAAAAGGTTAGATCATCAAGTGTTTTGGATTGGGGGCCTCCCTAAAGGGATATTAAGAGGGGCAGGCCACTCTTAAGAAGAATGCAAGCTTCCTACACTGGGACTAGCGTAAGATCAAAGCCTATCAAGATGGAGCACAGTGACAGAAAACTGCCGTTTCTATGGGAGAACAGAAGGGGAAGGGTACTGACCGGGGAAGGGCTGTGTGTCGTGACACCTCAGTTGTGTTCTCCTGACACCAGGAAAGGAGAGGGATCAGCTCCGATAACTAGACAACCCTGGCTATTTAACGGACTCTTTGGTGGCCTCTTTAAGACAAAGCGAGGAAGCAAATTCTGTGTATTAAGTGTATTTTGCATTTTTAAAACTTGACGTGCTGTATTGTACTAAATTAAGTGTAATCTATTAAGGCAAGGTATACACAACCTGCTCTGAAATTTACTGTTTATTCTATTATAAAGTGTATTCAGGTGCAACACAGAGACTGCTTTCGGTGACACTAATGAAGAAAATTCCTCATGCCAGGCTTTATTAGATTCCTCAGCTAAAATCCTAACTTTCTCCTTATTTCTTGGCACTTGTATACAAATGGTGTTGCCTCATAGGACAGGCATGAGCTATTCTTTTTCTGTAAAATTTTCCAAATCTATAGGCTGTGGTTCTCACTTTTGAAAAAGTATTTTGTCTGGATGTCTTTCGAACTAGCTGCAGATATTATTTAATACTATGTAACTGGGTCCCCTATGGCTCAATAATGCTTATTTTTCTTCTGTAGTGGATGTGAAATTTCCTTAATTTAGTTGGATTAAGACACTCTGTAATAATTTCAATGCTAATTAATGGATATTTCATACTGTGCAATGAACAAATAATTTAACATTGTATTTGGAAATGTTTTTTTTCCTTCCTGTCACCGCAGTGTGTGGTATTGCATAATGTGAATACCTGTAAAAATATAAATTACTTAAAAATAAAAATATGACCAATTGGTATCAAATCTTTTTAGATAGCTAAATAATTTGCTAAGTATGCTTGATAGTAAATATCTTTCCAAAGAGGAGAAATCTATGCTTCTTTCCCACAAATGGAATTTGTGTTGTGAATAAAATCACATTGATCTGCCTTACACTTGCCTCTGTGCTCTAACCATTTTAATGTGTTTTTTAAGTATATGTAAAAATGATGGTTGTGGTATGAAGAAATCCATTGAAAAGCTTTTTGTTGGCATCTAATATTAGTGGGATTTTCTTGGGTCATTCTCTCTGTTTAAGTCATGGTAAATTGTTATGATAAGAAAAATTTTAGTTTTTTCTCGTTAAGGAATATGGTGACTCCACATTGATTTTTTAATATAATCATGTCTTAGCTTTGGTTTTAAACTGTCCCCTTTATGAATTCCCATCTGAGAGCAAGGTACTTTGACCTACATGTCTCTACTAGTTAAATTTTCTATATCCTATGGGCAAATCTATAATCTGTCATTTATGTTTGTGATTGTCCTTCAAAGAACCTTCCTTTTGGATCAATATATCAATGCCAAGGACACCAAGATTTTGCCATCTGTACTATTCATCATAAAAACTACTGTAGTGCCCTGAAAATTTGACCACTGTCATATTTGTGGCAGTAAACCACACAATTTGGCAGAAATTACATCCTTAGAGAATGAAGTGTAGAATAAACTTCAGTTCTGTCTCTTTTGTCACATCTTTAGGAAGTAAGCTTTCATGTTGTGCAGAAGGGATTGACTGACACTAATATGGGCTATACTTAATTCTGATGAAGCACAAGGTCATTCTTGCAGGAATAGGCTTCACATGTTCTTTAAAAAGAGGATTCACTCGAGCTGTTCTTTTAAAAGAAAGTTTTTTCTCACTTGAAATCATTTTTTTCATCATTATTATTTTGCCTAAAAGAATATAAATTACTTCTAATTATGAAAAGGATGGTGGGGTACAGAGCAACAAGTAAAAGCCAGCTTTTAATATCTTCTGCCTTTTTTTTTTCTGATATAACAAACTGCCCTCCCTCCAGTTTTACAATGCTAGACATAACTAGTGGACTTATATAAAAACATGAATTAAGAGATCTAATATTTAATTATAAGACAATTCAAATTACAGTGAAAACTCCTGAATACATAATCATCTTTAGCATAAAACCTAGAAGCATTAAATCTGTCTACATTGAACCCATTGAACGTTTAATTGTCACCTACATATAAATAAGTTGTTTATTATGGCGTGGTAGTAAATTAGTATTCACAGAAAATATTCCCAAGTCTCAATGCAAATGTTAATTGCCCTTCATGACAAGAATAGTACTCCACATACGTGACGCCCTCAGCCTGGAAGCCTCAGAGCACTCTGCGGCTGTACAAGAACAAATGCCTCTCACATCTGACTGGTGACTAATGCTGCTATGTCCAGCCTTCTCTCTCACTTGTGACTTAGCTTTTCCCAGCTTTCTGCATTACCCCGCTGTGTTGCGGAAGGAACAACTGTTTCCACGAGGACATCATTGTCCAATTTTAAAAGAGCACGGTTCCCTTCCAAAACATGTACCAGAACTGATTATCTGTTGTTGGCTTGGTTCTTCAAGAGCCCAGTTGGTATATGCATTTCGTTTTGTTTTATTTTTATTTTTTACTCTCTTACAACATTGCCATTGCACGGTCAGGGAAACGGGAAGGACACCAGCATGAAATTTTAGGTCTCCAAGTCTATATTATGCTCTCCTTAACGTTCACCAAAGAAACATGAAGGAAATTATACAATAGACTGTCAGAAAAATTACACAGTCACCTGATAGGGAGCCCTCTTTGGAGTACTTCGCTTTAAACATTGGGTGCAAAAGGCACTGTGCCAGGTAGAAGAATGGGGAACACAAATGAGAGGGAGGTGTATTCTGCTCCGGGAAAGTCACAGTCTGTCTCTGAAGGAGAGTACATGCAGTGCCATTAAGGTTCAGGAAGAAAAAACATTGGAATTTCTCCTCAGGTTTTATAATTCGTCCTTTCGAATTTATTTTCTGTGTCTTTTTTATAACATGCATATCTATTAATATACAGTAATACATATATGTAGGTTATCAACAATAGAAGTGTTTTAACTGGTAAAGATGCACAATGAAAAAAGTTTGGAAACCACTGAGCATGAATGTAGGGAAATACGTCGACCCAAAGACCTTTCAGTGTATGAGAAATGCATTATCATCTGCTAATAAGCCACTCGCAAGAAAGTTCCAACAACGTATTATTTTGCGTTAGCTAATATTTTTCCTTGAACTTTTCTTTATCACCACCTGGAAGTCACATGCCACCTGAGACCGCCGGACAGTGAGCTATTGTGATACCACATTCCTAGAGTCACCATATTTCATAGTGTAGTTAGAGTATAAATGAGACAATAGGGGGTCCTCTTTCAACCCTACCAAGTAGGACACAGCCAGAAATGACCCCCCCAAACACAGAATACAAGTTTAATCCATCAGTGACTTTATTGTGATCCTCAAATCTATCAATGAAATTTTATATCAGAAAGAGGAAATTTATATGTTCACTTTGCTTTTAATAAAAGTGGAAGAGTATGTCATCTGACACAGGATCAATTTGCATATTGTAAAATAACCACAAATAAAATTTGGGAGGGAATTTATTCCTGCCGTAGACCCAGAATTCCTGAGTAAATTGGATACAAATTAAAATTCCATTGTAGCAGCTGATACACTTCCTCATTAGGAATTGCAGAAGGTTCCTATGCGCATCCTGTGGTTTGCATGAGGTCTTCTGCACTCTGCCAACTTTCAGAAAACATTCTGTCAAATTGCAAAAGAGCTGGTTTTCCGCCAGTGCTCCAAATGGCTGAACTGGTACACTGAAGGCAAGTCCATTGGGAAGCCGAAGTCAACAACTTCTTGCCTCATCTTCAAAAGCAAGCCTCTTCTAGAATAAGAAAAGCCAAAGTTGAAAAAAGAGAAACCAGAAGTGAGGAGATGAAGAAGAGGGCAAAACGAGAAGAAAATAAAGGTGCTTTCATATTTTCAGCTGCAACAGTAGCTCCAATTGACTTAATTGCTATTCATCTGAGAAAAAAAAAATCAAGGAAACCAATTGAAAATTATAAAAGAAAATAAAGGTCTGTTTTTGTCTTGAATGTTGAGTTCTGTGTTGTTTTGACTGTTGAGCACAGTGAATCAGATTTATAATGTGACTTTGCTCCTCACCCCCGTCCTTTAACAATAAAAGGACTCTTTGTCTGGTCTTAAAATGTTAAGTAATTGGTGGCATTTTGTGGTAGCCTGGCATCTCAATCCCTCATCCTTTCTCATCCCACTGCTCTGTCTTGTGGTGTTGCATATGTGTATGACGTGTATGGACTGGGGGGAGGGGAGCCTTACTTATCTCTAATAGGAGCCGCACTATTCCCTTAATATACTTGGAAATGTTTCTGTGTTCCGTCTCATTGTGATTCCTTGTTCAAATGTGCTGCCCAAAGATAAATCTATATTCAATTCTTCTTAACAGCTGTCAAACCAGATTCTTCACAAAATTATGTTGTCCTTTGCTTAAATGCTTTTTTCCCCTTAACAGCAAGAAGGGGGAAAAAAAACTTTCCATTTTTATTTATTTAATAGCTGTGTTTGTCACTTTTTAATATGAAATCTTTATTTACCCTTCTTAAAGTAAAACCACATTGAAATTTTACCAAAAAAAAAAAAATCAGTTCCCTAGCCCAGTATTCCACAAACTTTAAGAACTGGGGAGAAAGAATACTGGGTAAGAATGTTTTTAAAGAAAATATATATGTGCTATAGTATTAGCTACTATGGAAGGTTATTGTATAATAAAAATTTACTCTATAAAATGTAAAAATACTTCTTCCTCCCTTAAATCCTGAAACTCTCATATGAATCCATTTTTTTCTTCATATTCTTTCAAAAACTGAAAAACTAATAATACAGTAGGCCACCTGATACATTGACTACTGTAATTCACATAAGTCAGGCCTTCCATCCCCCCTCACCCCAGCTGTACGAAATTACATCTGGCTTTAGATGCAGTCTTGCCCTGAGGCAAAAAGAATGAGGACTGCTAACTAATTCCTTGGGGTCCTTTCCTGGCCTGTGATTTTATGAAATGGAATTATGCTGTTCAAATATATCCTTGTTTTTACAACTCCCATTTAGTTACTCTGAATGACCTTATGATTTTGTGCCTTCCTGGCTCCAAACCATTCTCAGTCATAATTCCCCATATTACTTTCATCTTGTTCTTAACCCACAAAGCAATTCCCTCCTTTTCGCAGTCCTCCACTCACCCATCCCTCAAAATCCTCTAGGTGTTGCAGACATTCAAGGATGAGCCAACAGAGAATTAAAAAGCTGTTGTTTAAAGGGGCTTTTGTATTTTCATAGTTTTAATTTAGGTACATGATTAGGAAGTTAAAAATTCGTTATAGAGGAATTAATGATAGCATGTGCTGATGATAACAAGGAACTTTCTAATGGAAAGACTCAATAACCATACCTACCATTAGTTGCTAACCTCAGCAGTAGCGCCAAAATTTGAGTATGAAACTGAAATGAAGCTATTTTTTAACCCTAAAGGTGATCCTTTCAAGTTAAGGTACTGTGTTTATGGACTTTTGGGGCACTTTAGGTACACTCTCAAACATTTTTTTAGAATGCTCCTTTTTAAGGAATCCTCACAAATTCATCAACACCTACTGTTAAATACACAGTTGAAATGAACACTGGCAAAATTGGCAGTGTAGAATTCTTGTTAAAATCATGGATTCTGGAGCCAGACTACCCAGTTGCAATTCTGGCTCCACCATTTACACTTCCTAAGTATGTCCTTGAGCAAGGTGCTTCCCTGCTGTAAAATGAAAACCAAATACATCTACTCTCAGTATTGTGAAAATTAAAAGAGATCATGAATGTTAATCATTTACCCTTCTGCCCGGCACATACAAGTGTTAACTAGTATTGTTATCAATTAGCAATTAGAGAGTCCATTTTTTTTTAACTAGGTCAGCAAACCTAAAATATTCATATGGACCATGGTAGAATGAACAACATTCCATATTTACTCCTTGAGCCAATATAATTAGTATTCCTCAAATAGGATTCTTTGGCTCTCTATTAAAGGAAATGTGATATAGCCCTAATCCTGTCTACCACTCAAAGCAAAATCCGAGTTTATCTTTATCATTGTTGAGAAAGATATGACATCAATATTCAGGCAATTAAAGAAGAAGATGGGAGTTTGATTTATTCAGATAGATCTAAGTTCCTTTCCTGAACCAGTCTCTAATTTTTTTTCTCAAAAATATTTAATTGCAGTATTTTCCTCCCAGATATTACAAATGCTACGTAGCTTCTCTTAGTATGTGCCAGATTTTTCCTTACATTTGCACATAAACATATTCTCATATTTCATTTTAATTAAAGCAATATTTTTAATGGTAATATATGATAATTTACTGTATTTACAATGTGGCAGGCATTACTATGGCAGTCACATGAAACCTAATGATCTTCTATGGTACACTATTGGAAGATTTTTATAATCAAATATACTCCAGTGAATGCCATTCCATCTTATGCAGTCTGGAAAAATGTAAAAACCAGCTCATTCAGTATTGCTAAACCAGGAGAGCTCTATTAATCAGCACTTCTGTGCTTCTCAGTATAATGATAAGGGATATTCACTAATGTGTTAAAATATTAAATTATGTGCAGGATTGTTTCTGTGTTGTGTACCTTTTGTACTCTATCTTTGAACTTAATGGACTCAAGATATGTATGATGATTTGCTATTAAGAGATATTTTGTTAATCAAACATCTTATTATTTGACCATTTTAAAATTTTTACCCACTATAACTAGCAGCTGTGGGGTTTTTTTTTAAGGTAATAGAGTGTTTTCCCAATCATTCATTATTCTGTTTCTCAAATGGTTTGGATTTTTTTTAGTAGATTTTTGGAGTATCCGATAAGTGTTCATTACACCAGATTCATTTCTCTCTTTTTTTGCACATTGCAGGTGAAAGTAGGGAAGAAAAGTTAGGAGATTCATTGCAAGATTTATACAGGGCATTGGAGCAAGCCAGTCTGTCACCACTGGGAGAACATCGCATTTCAACCAAGATGGAATACAAGCTATCATTTATAAAGAGATGTAATGACCCTGTGATGAATGAAAAACTACACAGGCTGAGAATTCTCAAAAGCACTTTAAAGGTAAGATATGAAATGGAAAGAGAAATTCCTTTCACGATATTCATTCTTGAAGTCAGTGGATTACCAGATACTCTAAATGAAGAAATACTAAATGGGGAGGTGGAGTGGACAGCAAGTAAACAGGAAGAACCTGAAACTGAGCTGTTCCTATAGGGTAGTAAGTGCATAAAGAGGAAGTAACCTTAACTTTTCATTATCATATCAAAGCATTGGCTAAATGTTATTTGACTTAATTCTCAGAGAAAACAGGATGTAATTAAATTTTTTTCAAAAATGTGAGGCTGGTGTTATTCCTCAGTCTTTCATTTTCCTAAGATAAATTTGCCATGTAGTTATTAATATAGTTATTAAAAGAACACAGCATGCATGCAGAATGCAATAGTGGGCACTAAAAGGCTTTGAGATATTTGGTGCCTATCTCCTGCAGCACATTTGGAGTGAAGCCACAGTGATTCATGTTCCATATAGAAATTTTATAATTGTTCTGTTTACGCTATCAGTTCCCAGCTCACATGTTACTTTCTTATTCTGCATTTCCGTAAGTGCTTACATTATCTCCAGTCTCTTTATTATACCACCCCCATAGTGGGGAGGAGGTAGTGGAGAGAGAGGAGCAGAGAGGCAGGAAATTGAAGGAGGCAGAAAACAGAGCCCCCTCACTGTGAGTGTATATGAGGGGACAGGGCCTGCTGTACAAAAACTCTCCATAAGCAGGCCTTGTGCCCTTGAAAAATCAAAAACAGAAAAGAACTACCATACAGAGTATGTAGTACAGTAATCTCAGGAAACAAAAGGTCAGAGGGCTCCTTTGGGAAATATTTCAGATCCATAGTATACTGCTGAGGTTTTGTGATTTTAAAGCATAGATGAGTACGAAAGAGAGAAACAAAATAGAAAATGCATGATTTGAAAAAGTTTCCAGAAGCAAGCAGCCAAGTTTTCAGAGTAAATTAGCTTTCAGTTGGTATTCATGCAAACACTACTGGAAATCCATGGGACAACTTAATAGCCTTTTGGTAACTAATAGCAGAATTTTAAAAAGAGCTATAATATTCATAAGAATAATTCTGCTAACCAGCCCTACTCCAAAGATAACCCCACCCTCCCACCTTATAGAGCACCCCACCCCATTCAGATCCAAACTGTCTAGTTGCGAAAGCAGACAGGCATTTTGAAGCAGTTCGGGCTTACATATTTTAAAGACCTGCTTCTGTCTTTCTTTCTAAGCACCTGACCCCTGTCTTTTACGCTCTGGATTCCCTAAAAATATTTACTTCCAGTAGCAAAGAGTTTGAGCTCCTGCCAGTGTTCAGTTCATTGAGTATTGGTGCATCACTAGGTATGTGACGCTGTGCTCCACTCTCTGGGGTAAAGATGATGAAAAGTCGGTGTAAAAAAATGCCCCTCATTAATAAAACCAAACTAGGAAGCCCTATACTTTTCAGTGTGGGAAATTAACAGAGAATGCAAATCTCCTATTAGGGAAGGATAACTGCCCAAGCAACCTTGGATGTGTGTAGTCCCTAGAATTGTCTCCCATCCAGCTACTAACCAGGCCCGACCCTGCTTAGCTTCCGAGATCAGACGAGATCGGGCGCGTTCAGGGTGGTATGGCCATAGACTGTGTAGTCCCTGGAATTGTAACAGACCTGCCTTCCCAAGCACAGGACGACTCCCAACATCCTTGGCTGCAGCCCCATTGTCCCCACCTGGAACTGGAACAACTGCTTAGGCACCTTGCTATCTTTCCTTCCCAGCTCTCCGTACCCACCTCCTGAAGAACATTCCCTAGACTTCCCTATCTTTTCCTTGAGCCCTTAAAAGACAGGCTTTACGGGGTGCCTGGGGGACTTATGGGACGCCTGGCAGGTGCCTGGGTGACTCAGTTGGTTGAGCTTCTGACTTCGGCTCAAATCATGATCTCATGGTTTGTGGGATAGAGCCCCCGGTCCGGTTTTGTGCTGACAGCGTGGAGCCTGCTTCGGATTCTCTGTCCCCCTCTCTCTCTGTCCCTACCCTGCTTGTGCTCTCTCCCTCTCTAAAATAAACATTTTCCACTATATGTCAAACTAGAATGTGAATTTTAAAAATAATAAAATTTAAAACAAATTAGAAAAATATAAATAAAAATAAACATTTTATTTTAAATTTTTTAATGTTTATTTTTGAGAAAGAGAGTTGGGAGGAGCAGAGAGAGAGGGAGACACAGAATCTGAAGCAGCCTCCAGGCTCTGAGCTGTCAGTACAGAGTCCAGCCCGGGGCTCGAACTCACTAACCTCAAGATCATGACCTGAGCTGAAGTCCAACACTTTAACCAACTGAGCCACCCAGGTGTTCCAATAAATGCTTGAAAAAAAATTTTTTTAAAGACAAGCCTCAGCTTCTCAGACTGTCTCACTCCCTCATCTTCCATCCCCCTTCCCACCCGGAAGACTCACTTCTCCCACAGGTGATAGCTGTGCTGTACTGAGTTCTCTCATAATGGAGCTCATTCTTCAGCTGAGAACCGGCCCCAGCTGAGAAGGGAGGGCTACTTTGCATCGCAGACCCCCATTGCTACAGGAAAGCAGTCATGATGTTCATACAACAAGAATTATGTATTTGTAGTGACAGAAGGGCCATGCCTTCTCTCATGCAAGGATGAGGAGCTAACCATCTGGCAGGAGAGACAGAACAGTGCAAGACTAACTCAAGACAGAATGTGAGAGAAGTCCACTCAGTGGCACTGATAAAGTGTCAGGAGGACATAAATGAGGGAGAAACCTTTTTTTCCCATTGTTGAAGGAAAGTTTTAAGAAATGAGAGGCATTTGAACCGGCTCTCAAAGAATGAGGAAGGTTTCCATAGGCAGAGACAGGAAACAAGACTGGCCAAGATTAAAAATTTAACCACACACAGTGGGCAATACAGGCATACCTTGGGTGTAGAAAAAAGTACACTAGGACTTGATTATAAATAGCTGGGTTTGAGCAAACCAGAACTGTGTCATATGGGCTTCTTAATATTTACATACTAACTTTTTATTTTAAACTTGAACAAAAGTCCGTACCCAACTTAACTGTTGAATCCTTTTGCTTTTCAGGCCAGAGAAGGGGAAGTAGCCATTATTGATAAAGTCCTAGACAATCCAGACTTGACATCTAAAGAATTCCAACAATGGAAGCAGATGTACCTCGATCTTTTCTTGGATATCTGTCAAAACACCACCTCAAATGACCCATTAAGTATTTCTTCTGAAGTAGATGTAATCACTTCCTCTCTCGCACACACTCACTCATACATTGAAACTCATGTGTAAGTGTATTCTGCCCTCTGGCCATCTGGTACCTTTTGGTACTTTGAATAAGTATATGAGGTAGTTTTATATCAGTGTGTGGGACACTTGACAAGCTATACTTTAATGTTACCAAACTACATGAAACAAACCATATATGGTCATTATACCACTGTCTTTAATGAGCATTTGTATATTTTATATGCAATTAGTGCTCAGCTTATGTTTACCATGTGCAAAATCAACTGTCTTCAATGACTTAAAATTAACTTTTGCAAACAACTCTGAAGACAGGTGGTCTTCAAGTAGTAAAACCACAAAAAGGCAGTTTTCTATATAAGGTCATCTTTTCTCCCTTTAAGTTAATTTTATATAAACAAGACTTCAAAAGTAAATCACACTTTTTCAGGTGCAGACATCCTTGTGGGTGGGAAAGAATTTAAACCTTTTTTATATTTATTAAAATGTTCTAAGAATTTTCTTAAACATTGCACAAAGTTTAATGCTGTAGTTTTATTTTTGTGAAATGTAGATGTGCATACAAGAGTTAAGCAAAATAGAAGAGCATCAACATAAGAAAAGTTCAGGTATCTAATATTCGTCTTAATAGTCTATTAACTTGTGAAAGCTGGTTAATGGAAGTATTATTCCAAATCTATGGGGACACTTAATGGTGTATCAGGGCAAAGCTTTGTAAGATGTTTTTGTAACTAAGACCAAAATTGAAGATAGAGCTGCTTTATTTTCTTGGTTTAAATCTTCCTTTATTTTTGTAGTGATGAAATGCTGATTGTGTACAGAGGAATTTGAGAGTGGATTTTTTTAAAACACAGCTAATTCACCCAGAAAGGCAGCTAAGATATATATATATATATATATATATATATATATATATATATATATATAATTTTAGCCCAAACTCATGTTTTTAAACTCCAGCTCCTAAAAAACAAGGTATAAACTGAAATGACTCAACTTTCCAGTTATTTTTCCAATTTTCCCCCTAGTCCATTAATTAAGCTTACATAATTATACTTCAAGCAGGGGCGTAAAATATGTTTAGTTACAGGCTGGTGTGTGTTCTAATATGAAAACAATGTTGCAAAATAAAAATGTGCCTCTCTCCTGAGGAGCAAGAGGATGATGGTCATTCAGAGATATATTACAATGAATTACATGAGAGAAAGAATTTATAGAGGTTCTTCCTAGCTTCATGAATTGTTCTGTAGAGTGGATGAAGTCTACGAAAAAGCACTCTTCACATATTTCCATTTATAAGTATCTCATTTTTGAAAGTGATCACAGCATGATAATGACTGTGCTGCTTTTTAGTGTCTGGCTGCATAACGTACAAGTCACAATTTGCTGTTTTTTTAGGAGGAGGAAGGGGCCCTCCTTTACTATTCTATATCCTAAATCTACTTCTAATCAGCTTTATACTGTTGCCTGTACAGCTCAGTGAATGTACTTTCATCTCTAAGAGTTCAGATATATGCCAGTGAATATTTTTTGCTGTAGGGGAGGAAGTAAAAACTCCACAGCAGGGATCATTTTCTTTGCTTTTGAAATCAACATTGAATCACTATCGTTTTGCAGACTTTGCACACTGTACAGGAGAGTGGCCTTTCTACAGCACATTTTCAGTAATCCTATATTTAGTCAAAATGGATGAGAAATCATGTATTAATGTTTGTATGGAATTTGGGGTCTAGTGTAATATTTTTATCATTTAAAAAAACTATTTGTAAAAACATTTATTTACTGCATGGATATTGACGTACATTAAATTTGTGGAATTTTGTATATGTAAAAAAACAAAAACCTCTTGTCCTAAAATGAAGTGTGCTTGTTACAGGTGTTTAGACTTGTTGATGTTCACTAGACCAAATGTGTACATTCACTTAAAAATATCTGTACCTGATGGATGTGTCATGGATACAGCAGCAAGGTTGTACCCTGTAAACAACGAGCAGTTGATGGAAAGACTAGTTGTGTTGCTACTAAGCAGCTTTTACCTTTGTAAAGTCAGCTCTGTTGTTTTAAATGGTAAAAATTAAACTAATGAATTTTAAAAGACTCGTGACTAGCTTAGCATGAAAGAGACCTTTTAACACTATATTTATCTGTACATTTTATTGCATTAGTTTCAAATCTAGGAGAGAGGCAGCACTGTAAACTGAAGTGAAATAAATTTAGCTCTTAATGAATCCTTACAAAGCACCTACTTTATTCATGCAGAGTTCCTCACCACATTTCTTTGAGACCTAATCACAGAGCCATCTTCCCCCTATCCCCTTCCCTAGTTACCAGTTCTATTAAGTGAGGTCTC